AACAATTTCAGGTGGCCTTGAGTTCGTGGCTGTATTCCTTCACTGGCGCCGATCAGCCAAATCCTCATTTACTTTCCGAAGCGAGAATTCCAACTTCACCATGTTGTCGCCAATCGTACGGAGACACCCCAAAACCGCATCCATATTGCGGTTGAGCTCAGTCACCGTTTGAGTCTGTGTATTGGACATTCGCGCCAGACCATCCAGAATGACCGGCAGCTTCTTCACTTCCAATAGTGGAGAATAAAGACAAAGAAGGAGAGAATTAAGACATTCAGTTCTGGTACCAATCTCGCAACGACGGAGAGAAGCTCACGGTTTCACTTCTCTGCTGCGTCACATGCTTGGTATCTGTCCTCCCCTCAATTTATTTCATTATGGAGTCCGTATCACAATGGGGTTTCCAACATAGGGAGTGAGGGTTACACTGCGGTTTGAAACAATTGAAATGGTTTGACTATGTGTGTGTATGTGGGTGGAAGGTGAAGCCATTATTTAGCTATGCGTACTATTAATTTGACAACATATTTTGAACAGACATATTTTGACTTATGACGTGACCTCGCTTTGAACTGTCTTAGAGACGAGACTATTTTGGACAACATTGCAGATGAAACGCTGTGCGCGCATCCTCTTTATTGACTCGCGGTTTCACACCAAAGTCCTGTTGGAACCCGCTAGAGACGAAAGTACTGCAACAGTTATTTGGGAAACGGAAATGCAGAAACAGTTTTTAGGGAAACCGGAGCACTGGAACAGTTATTCGGGAAAACGAAAGTGAAGTATCAGTTGAAAACTACGCCCTCCTTAGAATATATAAGACTTGTCTTGAGGTGTTGCTTTTGCGCTTTTGTGCTCTGATCACAACCATTGTTTGGATCACACTTGTGCCCGGAACACTCTGATAAAATTTTCATGAAACAACATCTCCATTTCCAGCCTCCGATTTCACACACTAACCCAACCCGAATTCAAATGGACACGCGGAGGACGACGAAGGATCCCGCCCACCACCCTCCAACATAAGAGATCTCCGGTGGTCAATAAAAACCAAGATGAGTGGAGGGACTGGTGGAACGTTGGGTGAGATTATCCCGCAGTCTTCTCTCGTTCTCTTGCTATCTGGGTACAACTGAAACCATCTGCATCCTATGTGAGTGAAAAGTTACAGAGCGTATGTGAAACCTCAAGTGGTGAGGTCATCTCAAGCGGCAAGGTCGTCTCCCAGTCATCAATCACCGTTTTGACAAGTTTGTCCTCTTTCTCAACCCAATGGGGGAAGCGGTTCTTAAAACCAAGCAGTTCCTTCTTTGCACATAGTGTGGTATCTGTTTTATGTTAAGTGGTGTCTGTTTGTGGTAAAGAATACAAAACTCAATACATTACAACGTAGCAAGCGGAAGATGAGTATGGTTACCATTGCAAAACAAGTTAACTGCCTTGCAACAGAGTATGGTTGTTGTGGTATCTGTTTTCTACTAGTATTGTACTAACTTCATGGAATTACGTCAGCTAATCGTAGTCAAGGGAGAAAAGGGTGAATAGCTGTCAAATAGCATTAATATGTAGTGTCTATTTCTTACTTCTTAATCTCCTTTCGGCACGCCCCTATTCAGGGGTCGCCACAGCGAGTCAGTAATTTCCATCCGCCCCTGTAAACCGTCCTACCAAAAGTTTTACGCCGGATGCCATTCCTGACGCAACCCTCCCCATTTCTCCGGGCTTGGGACCGGCACTGGGGAACAGTGCACCCCCAGGGGAGGGCACTGCTCCCCAGCGGCTGGGTTAGTGTCTATTTCTTACTAGCATTGTATTATTTCGGACGCTAGCGTATCGTAGACAGCAGGAAAAGAGCGTATGGCTGTCACTCGTAAATAGCAGGAAAAAGGACGTATGGCTGTCAAACTGAGAAATATATGGGCCAAAAGCAAGAAATAAAAATGCTGACCAACGACACTTGTTGACCAACTACATGTCAAAGAATACGTGTGGCAGGAAAAGGGCGTATGGCTGCCACTCGTAGATAGCAGAAAAAGGGGTATACGGTTGTCAAACAGAGAAATATATGGGCCAAAAGCAAGAAGTAAAATGCAGATCAACGACACTTGTTAGCCAACCGCATGTCAAAGAATATGATGATACTTGCTAATCCATTTGCTATGGTCTCCATCAGATCGATAAATGCATGCCCATTGTGTTAACAACGACATACCCCTTTATATTTTAAAGGATACATGGTAATATTTGAAACCCACATGCATTCACACAAGGGCCCGGCAGGGGCCCCCCATTATATTTAAAAAAATAGAAGCTATTGTGTCACCGTTATAATTCAGAACCAAGACATGAAGTAATTTATAGATACCATTAAAAACTAGCTAACGAAGAAAGCCACAGCCAATCAGAATCACACAACGCATTATGACACTGGTAGAGTTGATAACGATCAAGAGACTACCAGTTGAAACTGGAGGGGTGGGCCCCTCACACCGTTATAAAAAACTATGTTTAACCTCGGAAGAATTCAGAGTTTTCCGATGTGCATATCTGTACCTCTCCGAGTTTTTGATTGAATAAAGCTCGTTTGTGACCAGCCTGCACCTCGGCCTCCGGACTAAGTTTGTACTTGGTTTTTGAACGATCTCGGCATCAAGCTCAAAGAAACTTCTGGTGTGTCCCCCGGTTTTCGGTTCAACAAAGGAACGTCCGTTTTTTCCTCTTCCTTGTGTCGGCCCCCCCTGATCCCTCGGCCGTCCGCCCGGGACGCCTCGGCGCGCCCCTGGTCTCCGGGAGGAGGTGTGTGTCCGGGCTCCGGGCCGACACATCATAGTCATACCAAAACCAGTTAGCTGCCCTGAAATGGTCATTGTTAAGATTAGCAAAAAAATGCCTGCTGGCTGCTCGGCAATAATCATCGTTAGGTAGCCAAGCATACGGATACGGTTAAATCTAAAAGCATATGCAATCACACAAAGGCCCTGTAGGGGCCCTGATTATATTTTAAAATTAAAGCCCAGTGTGAGACCATTATAAATTAGAACCAAGGTATGAAACTGTTAATAGATACCATTAAAATCTAGCTGACAAAGATTGTCACGATCAATCAGAATGACACAACGCATCATGATACCATTAGAATTGATAAAGTGAGGGGCGTCCCTAGGTACCAGCCAATGAAATGAAAGGCGTTGGCCCCACAAAACTCTATAAAAGCTGTGTTTTGTCCCTGGAGAGTTCAGAGCTCTGATGTGCACATCTCTGTACCTCTCCGGGTTTTAATTGAATAAAACTCGCTTGTGACCAGCCTGCTACTTGGACTCTTGACTAAGTTTTGTACTTAGTTTCTGATCAACTCCGGCCTTGAACTCAGAGACATCTGGTGCGTCCCCTGGTCTGCGGCTCAATGAAGGAACATCAGCGTCGGCCCTCCTGCCCGCCGCCCACCCCCGGGAGAAGGCGAGACGCCTCTGCGCGCCCCTTGCCTCCGGGAGGAGGCGTGGGTCCGGCTAGGGGCCGACACGACAATAACCAGCAAAACAGTCATCATGAATGTAATATGTGTGAATTAAAGACATGAATACAAGAATGTATAACTAAAAACATGAATGTAGGAATACATAACTCAAGCACACAATTATTCCTTCACGAAAGATCACAATGCTGAAGAACTACTGCAAATGGGGGTCGGGGGGGGGGGGGGAGGATTCCCTGGGTGAGGAAGGCCCCGTTCACCTGACAACTGCTGTTGAAAGCGTCAGGTTATTGCTCATCATGGGATGCGTGTGTACGTGCGCATGCGCGGTAACGGCTCGATCGTGGGAGGTTGGTTGATCGAAAAGTAGATCTTCGGTCAAACAAGGTTTGGGCACATTAGGCATTGTGATTATTATTTTTTGCGCATCGCCTTGGCGCACTACCTTCCTGAGTGGCATGTTTCACCTATCAGATAGTTGACCAACACTATTGTGTTGGTCAATTAATCATCCGTCACGGTGAATGACTTCAGAGGTGACTGTAGTATCTGTTTTATATGAAGTATTGTATTGACTTCGGGTTTTACTGTAGACAAACGTAGATAGTTGGAGAAAAAAGGGCATATGGTTGTCAAACATAGGTAGCAGTTGGAAAAAAGACATACGTGGAAAAAAGACATATGTTTAACATAGACGGCAGCGGCCGGGAAAAAGACATATGTTTATTAAACATACATGACAGCGGCCGGGAAAAGGACTTATGGTATTAAACAGAGATGGTAGCAGTTGGAAAAAGGACATATGTTAAACGTAGACACGTGGATGTTACTTGTTGAAACCCACATGCAATCACACAGAGGCCCGGTAGGGGCCTCTAATTTATTTTAAAGAATAAAGATATTGTGACACCATTAAAACCCAGAACCAAGACATAGAGCATTTTATAGATACCATTATAAACTAGATGATAGCGAAAGCCCTAGCCAATCAGAATTACACAACGCATTGTGATACCAATAAAACTGATGAATAACCAAAAAACGACTGGCCAATGGCAGTTGAGGGGATGGCCTCTCGCAATGCCATATAAACCATGTTCAATCTCGAGGGATTTGAGAGTTCTCCTGATGTGCACATCTGTACCTCTCCGGGTTTTACTTGAATAAAACTCGTTTGTGACCAGCCTGCACTTCGGCCTCTGGACTCGATTTGTGTTTGACTCTCGAACGATCTCGGCTTCAAGCTTAAAGAAACAACTGGTGCGTCCCCTGGTCTGCGGTTCAACAGAGAAGCGAATCTTCGTGTGTCAACCCACCTGATCCTACGGCCGGCACCCGGGAGAGAGGCGGAACGCCTCGGCGCGCCCCAGACCTCCAGGGAGAGGCCTGGATCGGGCCCCGGGTCGACACATCATGACCTACTTGATATGTGATCTGCCATGACATGTTTCATCCCTGGTGTTATCGACGGACTGATTTTGCAACGTTTCATATTGTCAGGTTTATTACACATATGACAAATATGCGCATACATAAAAGAAGAGAGGGCAGCCCGGTGGTCCAGTGGTTAGCATGTCGACCTCACAGTGCAGAGGTACCGGGTTCAATTCCAGCTCCGGCCTCCCTGTGTGGAGTTTGCATGTTCTCCCCGGGCCTTGTGTCCAACCGGTTCAGGGTGTCCCCCGCCTCCTGCCCGAAGGTGGCTAGGATAGGCTCCAGCACCCCCACGACCCTTGTGAGGATAAAGCGGAACAGAAAATGGATGGATGGATAAAAAAAAGAGAGGAGACATATTTGTCATTTGCAAGGAGAATAGAAGAGGACTGCGCACAATTCTCTCAGCTACCCTAAGCAGCCCCTCCGTAAGCCCCCTCTTTTTATTTACTGTTGAGGTCCCTAGATTACATGAAGGTGAGGCAGATCTCCAGAAATGCAGAAGGGTCACCTCTGGTGGGTTTCCTCATATCTGACTGCAGATAACTTGAGGCCAAGTAGAGTTGAACATGTTTCGGTTCTCCTGCTTTTGACTCTTTACACAGTAACACTCGCACAGCAAAATAACATGTTTGATAATACTTTCATGGGAAAAAAAACTAATGCAGACATAAACATAATAAATCATACTAGAATCATTTGTTCCCAATTTTATTCCATCACATATCAATCGTGGTGATGGCCTGGCACATACAAAACTGACACACTACGGGCTGGGTTACTGGTGATGGCAGCAATTCCGTCTGCTGCCTTGGGAGGGGATGTCCGACACCTGGGTTTTTCTACCACAGACCTCGGTCACCATTACGCGGATCTCCTGGAATCATTGGAGGGTTGACGATAGAGGGCTCTGCCAACTTTGCTTCCGCTGTTTTCTGTCTGCATTTGACAGGTGGAAGATCACAGAGCTTGGTCTTACTGGTGCAAATCCTGATTAGTTCACCCAGAGACTCGAGAGCTTCTCTTTTCCTGGTGTGAAGGTATTTATCTTGAAGAATTGTTGGGCCCATAGTTACAGGAGCAGCAACGCCTTTGGAGCGTGCCCCTCCTTTTACCAGAAAACTAGAAGGCATCTTGGGGGCTGGAGGAGTAGCTACAAGGGGTTTGCACTCTGAGAACACGGGGTCATCTTTCACTTGAGAACTTGGCGGTGCTGCGGGGATGTAACCAGTACTTAAAGGAAGTCTGTTCTCTGAGAGCAACGTTTCATCTTTCACGCGAGAACTAGGCGCTGGTTTCGAGCTTGGAATGGGAGTTGCAGAGGATCCGGAAGAAGAGGGAGCCATTTCATCTTTCACCTGACAAATCTGCGGCATTGGCAACAAAGAGGCAGTTGGTAGAGGAAAGCTCCGTTCCTTAACCGGCGGTTCAGTGTTGATTTGATAACCCGGCCAGGCTCCAGAAACTACACCAGTAGTTTTCGGAGATCCATCGTCTTTTGGGATTACTTCAGACTTCACCTTAATACAACGCTGCCCCACAGAAACAAGACCTGCAGTTTCAGGAGATCTGGACACTTGTGGCATTTGTTCAGCCTTCGGTTGTTTCCTACGTTGCTCTTCAAAAATCAGACCAGAGGTTTCAAGAAATCCGGACTCTGGTGCCGTCAGTTCAGCCTTCACTTGAAAACTAGGCTGCTGCTCAGAAACGGGACCAACAGTTGCATCAGATCCGGACTGTGAAGGGCTCAGGTCAGCCTTCTCTTGAAAACTCGGCGGTTCCTCAGAAATGGGTTTTACAATTCCAGACTCATGGAGCACAAGATCAGCCTTCACTTGTAAACCAGGTTGCTTCTGACTGATAGGACAGAGTCTTACAGGGGGTTTGGACTCTGAGAGCATTGGTTCGTTCTTCACTTGAAAAAGAGGAGGTTTGGTGAGCGAACCCAACTTTTCAGGAGGCCTGCATTTTGAGGGCATCACCTCCTCTTTCACTTGGTTGACAGGTGGCACCCTAGAGACAGGACTGGAAACAGTCAGTTCTGGCGGACTAATCAAATTTCTGTGGGTGTCTTGCAGAGTGAGGAACGCGCTAGCCGAAGAGGTGCAAGAAACCGAGTCGGCATTCGAGTCCACACACAAATCCATGTTCTGTCCACTCCGCTTCTCAGACGTCTGGGTTGCTTCAAAAGGCAGAAACGGTCAGAATGAATACATTAAGAGTGTCATTTGTCATCTCAAAGCATCGATGTACCAGTTTGTTGTGATGACACGACAGACTGACAGGTGGTGCTCCGCAGCATGTTGAGAGCTTTGAACGATAAGAGGTTTACAATTGATACATGGCACTCTCGCACACAATAAAACCGGTCGTAAGTGACATTCAACAATACCTTCTCTGACCGGAGCTTTCCAGACTGACTCGTACAAGCCTTGAGAGAGGACTAAAACCTTCAGCCCCCCAAAAAGAAGTATTTAGCACAAGGAGCGATTTGTGACGGTATGCTAAAGGCTACCTTTGCGTCCATCTTCTTGGATCGCTCCTGGGCAGCGACTTCAACCGCCACACGGTTAAAGATGGTGAGTTTCATTTCCTCTCGTAGGTCGTCCTCATACCAAAATGAATTCATCAAATGTGGATAGGCCATCAGCTGCAAAAAAAATTTTTTATTTTATTTTTTAATTGAAGTCACGTCCTAAAAATGTGAGTAACAGAGTCAAGTGTCAAACCCTCCCTTACCATGTACATGAGCTGATGCTTTACGCTAACCATGTGCAGGCAGATGTCACTGACTGTGAATTTCTGGCTACAGCTCTCACACAGGTAGAACGAATTTTCAGACGCCCCACGGCACTCGTACACAGATGCTAGACCTGACTGGGCAATGGCTTAGTCATTAGTGTCTGCTTATTTTCATTTTTTTTGGGGGGGGGGGGGGGGGGGTAGTCCATGAGGGCTACTCCTACTCACCTAAGATTGGCTGGTTGAACAGTCCCCTCACCCACAAAAACATGGTCAAGTTACTTTCATTTCCTGTAACAAAAGCAACATTGGTGCATCATGGACTGGCAGTGACCTCTGGGGTTAAAAAGAGGGGGAAAAAAACAAACAAACTATATTGCATTAAAAGCCAACGGGTTCAAAGTTTGGGGAGGAAAAAAAAAGTTGTGGTTTATAATCCGGAAAACACGGTACCTGAAAGACAGAGCGCCTGTGCAACATTTCCATCGTTGCGTTTTGCAATTGAATTTGGTGGTCCTGACCTATTTGATCCTTCCAGATCCTCACAGACGCCTGGATTACAAATGTGTGAGTGGTCTGCTCCCGATGCCTCTGGAGGTGAGGGCCCATCTGAGCCTTCTGGATTCTTCTCGACAGCCTTTAAGTCCCAATCACCAATCGGAGGCTCTAGGACCAACGGGGTTGGTGGTGGGGGCTCGCCGCAGTCAGACAGATTGTTCTCAGTCTCCTTGGAATCCGCATCACCAATCTTTGGGTCTGGTCCCAACAACACTGATGTTGAGGGCTCGGTCAAGTCAGACAGATTCTCTTCAATGTCCATAAAGCCTGGATCACCAATCTTTGGGTCTGGTCCCACCAATAGTGATGAGGGCTCAGTGCCTCCCCAATTCTTTTCAGTATCCTTTAAACATAGATCAGTCGGTGACTCTGGGCTGAATAAAACTGAAGTTGAGGGCTCAAAATCTTCCGGATACTTCCCGGCTAACTTTAAATCGGGATAATCAAAATCCTGGTTCTCAGAAATCTCTTCGCCACATTGGAATCCATGGATGCTTTGAACAGTGGCCTCCGGCTCAGGAGTTGGATATTCATCATCAGCAGTGCTAACAAGGGCATCTGTATCAACTGCCAAACAGAAAGATGAAACAACAAAAGATTGTCATGAATACCATGTGCTGGGGGGGGGGGATTAAAAGGCAGGTTCTACATCTTGTAATTGTCTTCTTCAAATCAACTATCAAAACAAAACTGGAACAGCGCAGAGTCAAAATGCCCAACCTCTGCCCAGGGCGAATCATTCATGCCATTATTAACTCATTCAGTACCAGCAAATTCCGGACCAAGTCTGAAAAGACGTTTAAAAATGTCTTTGGGAGTGAAGAAGTTAATTAAAAAGTCAAACATTCAAAAGAAACCCAAATACACCTTAAAAAAAAAATCCCAATCGATTGCCGAGCCATTTTCACCAATGCTATTGCTAAACTTTTTGTTTTAAGTCTCGTCATTCATCAAAACGGGTCTCCGTCAGTGACTGACTAACAAACCTTCCGTCAGTAATGACGGAATGCCCACCTCTGCCATTTAACTGTTTAAACCCCCCCCCCCCATAAAAAAACACCATGTTAGTCCGGCTACGATTCCGCCTGTCTTTCTCCAGGGTGTGAAACATCACAAAATTCAATTACCATCATCCGGGCTTGAAGCTCCTTGCGAGTAGGCAAAAGAAATCTGTTGTCCCACAGGCACCAAAGAGTTGGATGAGACCTGGAATTGAGCCTCCAATCTCTGTAAAGCTGAGGATCAAGACAAATCATTATTTTCGCTTCCATCATCTGTAGCGCTTGTCCTGCAACCAAGGACAGCTCAAAAGGTGTTGTGTCTTGATTTTTCTCTCACTGACCTTGGGCCTCTGGGAGACTAGACAGCTCATTGTACTCGTCGTTAGTCACCGCTATTGTCTAGCAAGCACAGACAAGACCAAGAGCCCATTTGGCAAAAAGACAAGATAGGAGTCCATTTGTCTTTGGACATCCAAAATGCGTTTGTTATTTGTTAAAAGACACTTAACTCACCTGGATTTTCCGAAGTCCCAGACACTTCTCGACCTCAGCCATGCTGAATGCAAACTTCTCCTGGTTGATGCCTGCCAAGTGCTTGTCGTTCAGCTCTGGGAACCTCCGTTTCTTGTTGGAGGATGTAACGGCACACGCGATCAACATCTGACATATCGTGTGCTTTTTCTGACTTAGTCGCACATACCATGTAGTTGTGTAAGTGAACGTTTTCCGTAGGGTGACTTGAGCGGCCCAATCTGACGTGGCACAGAGTGCAATAGGACTGCATCCTCCCGTCGCTGTTAACTGCAACTATAAAGCCGAGGCCTAAAGATAAAACGTCAAATTAAAACTTTGTCACAAGAACCAGTTGATACAGAGTCGCTGAACAACAGCACTCACCAACTTTTGAAACAGTCGCCTTAGATTTGCTATGCGATAGATTGGCTGGTGAGGTTGCGTGGACGGCAGCACAAGTGCAGCACTTGCAGACCCGTGGTTCTGGATCGGCAAGGGATCCCCTCGTGTTGTTGTTGTTGTTCACTTTCTTGGAAGAGGCAAGAGATTTTCTGGATCCAACCGCGACTTGGGCCTGAGACCGGACCGACGATTTAAACGCTCTGTTTTTTTTTTACGGCTGCCAAGTGAGAGTGTCGCACGGCTTCTCTTCCAGATCCAACTTCAGGTTCTATGTGGCCTAATCCTGACATGGTGAATGAAGATTTGGGGCTGGAGTCAGATGCTATTAACTTGGAGGTCGAGACGGCACAGCGAGCGCCTGATGCACTGGGCCTGGAAGTCGTCGCAGATGCACTAAAAGTAGAGGTTGACGTGCCATGAACGGCATTCGGTGCTGTGGGTTTAGTGGTGGTTGCGGCGGTCACTCCCACGTGCTTGGTTGCGGTTCCACCTTTGACGGCTGCGGTTGGATTTGAAGGTGCAGTCACCATAGAAATTGGAAGAGCCTGGATGCTGCTCAGTCTTGGGGACTTTGCCGCAACTCCAGAGGATGTTGGAATAAAACTGCCAACAGGTGCAGTGGACTTTCCGGTGGTTGCAATTGCACCGGAGTATACTGCGGTCACGTCACAGGACTTATCGTTACAGGCAGTAGGTGTGAATCTGTTGACGCTTGAAGTCGCAGTGGAATATGTTGCGCTCTCTCTACAGGATTGGCAGCTATTGGCAGAGGGTGCAATGGACTTTGCTGTGGTTGGGGGTGGACTCAAGGAGGTTGCCGTAACACCGCAGGATTTCGTGAAACTGGAAGTAGGGGCTACGAGTTTTGGGGCGCAGGAGTTGGAATGCACGGTTCTATTTGCACTTGAGGTGGTTGTCGTCGCTGTCTTGACCTTTGAAGTATAAGTGGTGGTCGATGTTGTGGACTTGAATGCAGTGATTTGGGAGGTGGTTTCGGTGCAGGCGGCCACAGGTACTGCAGCCTTGGCTAGATTTGTTTTGGAGGTGGTCGCAGTCTGCTTTTGGTCCGAATTCTCATATTTCAGCTTTGGCTTTTCTTCATGTGTTATCATTTCTCTGGAGCCCCTTCGTTGTCTTTTACAGCCAATCTTGTCATCGTGAGCATCCATCGGCCTCTTTCGCTCACCTTCCTCTTTTGCGGATGTCAAAACATGGCCGCTAATTCGGAGTCCGGTCTGATTCACAGTCTTTTGGGGTCCGGAGGTCCCGTTACTGTCAGTGGGATTTCTGCTGGGGATCTTTGAAGGGAGCGCCGTCATTTTGCGTGTCACGCTGTTCTCAGAGGTCAATGATGTTCCTTTGGGGACTGGAAGGAAACAGTTAAAAAGCCCTCGATTAGATCTGACAGTAAGAAAACTGTACTGTCATTTTGTTTTAACCAATCATGTTAATCACCCTGGACAACAAAAGTATCGCATCGGGACAAAAAAATAAAATAAAATTATTGTTCAGACAGAATAGGGTCGGGGTTGAGTAGCACATACCTTGGACCTCAAAGAAAATTGGGTACTTTCTTTAATGAGGAGGTCAAGAAACCTGAATTGTGTCCCTTTCCAGACAGACACCCTACTTGAAAAAACAATTTTTTTTTTAGCTTACCCAACCGTGCGTGCGATAGGAAGAGGGGTATAAGCGGACCCTTGCTCGTCCTCCTCAGTGCTGCACTCAGGATTATTTTCGCTGACGAGCAAACGGTGTAAGAAAATGAGGAAAAAGAAAACACCGCCGTCAAGTCAATGACATTAAATGTGTGACCCCAAAAAGTGCCACTCTAAAATGTGACGTTTCCAATTTGGAAACAAATCACCTCTGGCGTAGTCGCAAGGTTCCTTGATGGGCCGATCCAACTTGATTTTCTATGTAAAAAAACAAGAGTTAGTCAGAGACTTGTCGTTCTGATTCAGAAGTTTTGCTTTGCCAGACCTGTATATCCGTTATTCTGTGAATACGTGCAGCCTGGCTTGCAAGGTCCAGTAAAATCTTTGGCCCGCAATTGGCCATCAGCGAGCCAGGATGGAAACGGTCCTTTTTGAGCACAAACCCAACCACCACAATTAATGTTCAATGCCGAATTCAACCGTAAAAACATTCAGGACGAGCGAAAGCACTCACGAGAAACATAGCAACGTGTTCCCAGCTGAAAGCGTGTGCGTGACCCTCTTGCTCCGTCAGCCGCCTTCTACACAGCAGACACAGCAACGAATCGTAGGTGGAGTTGCAGGCTGCGTCGTGGGCCTCGTACGACACAATAAAATTTCGCCCTGCCATGGTAAAATGTTCAGCGCCCTTCAGGGAAGAACGAACGTTTCGCCAATTTCCTACTGCTCTCTTACTCACCCAAAAGTGGGTAAGTCCCATGTTTGTGGTGTCGGCTGAAGGTTTGGCACAGTAGCACTGAAAAGATGCGACAACCCTTGCTCATGTTAGTGAGATGAAACATGACATCGGGTTACGCTCGGTTCAAATCAAGCTCTCTGCTGTGTGCTTTTTTTGTAAAATGCTGCGTTTTCAAAGAGTAAGACGCGAGAACCTCGTCTTTGCCTCTCGCAAATTCAGACCGGATCATTACCAAGGAACTTGAACGTTCGCACAGACGCTGCGGCCTCATGCCTTAACATCGTGCAACGCAGGGCGTGAAGCCGCACAGATGGTGGCATGCATCAACCTTGTTCAAGAGCTCAGAGTTGGTATGCGCGGTTCCATTTAGGTCACGGCAATGTCCCACTTTTGGAGTTCGGATCCCACCGTTGGCAGCCATGCAAATATTTCACGCCAACTAGCAGGTTGTCAAATCATTCACGTCTCACGGATCAACGGAATGAATTCTTTTGACACGCTACACACCATGCCATGCATATAGAGTGAATTTTACACGCTACTGGTTAAAAACTCGTTCAGTACCAGCCAATTCTAGACCAAGTCGGAAAAGACGTTTAAAAACGTCTTTGGGAGTGAATGAGTTAAAATGGCGACACACCATGCGTTGTTAAAATTAGCACCAATTCTTCTTAGGCGTGCACAAATAAAAACAAAGTGTCTGCGGAGAAATCAGGCCAAGAGTTTACCCTTACATCTCATGACAACGTGGTGCCGCCCGAGTTTGTCCTTCACTATGGGTACAGTAATGAATTAAAATGATGGAAACTAACTTAGAACTGTTAGATGAGTGTATATTTTTGGATGCCAACCTTTCTGGTAACTTGGTGGATTGAGGTCTTGAAACACTGAGCAGGGAAAATCCATCACCTGGGAGAGAGGTGAAACAAATCTTAAATTTCCTGAGATAAAATGGATGTGGGTTTTTTTTAAGCATTTGTGTCACTTTAAAAGAAAAAAGTAAGTTTTTTTTTTTAACCTTTAGAACCACCTGACACCACCCTCTTTTCTTCTCCTCCGCCTCCAACTCTGACTGCAACGATTTCCTTTCCGGAACTTGTCGCCAACCAAACGGCAGCCGCCAGGGATTTAGATGCAACTACAGTGTCAAAAGTAAAATTCACAGTGACTCAGAAAAATAAAGTAACACGTTTAAGAGCTATCATAAAATATTCGTTTGCAAAAAAGCTGACCAGAGTGTGCAGGAGGTGCCTGTGCGAATCCAAGTGTTTTATCAGTAACGATGCCGGAAAAGCATCCTGGCAAGCGCAACAGATGCAATCGGCTTCGGACGCGGCCTCCGAGCTGTGCCAAAACATCATCATGGATGCACCTAGTTAACAAACGTGAATGACGATCACGTGGTTGTCAGAGCCAAAGTGGACGGTGAAACGGATCGTCACCTGGCACGGAGCGCTTGTCCAGTTGCTTGAATATCCCTTTCTCCAGCGTCAGACCTAACGGACGAGGCGTATATTTAAAATATGAAACCGCCGACCTTGAAATTGATGTTCTCACTGGCTCACGGTGCTCAGCAACTTTGCGCACTTTCAACCAGCGCCGCCGCCGCGCGGTCGCAGTCTTTCCTTCCTCCCGTGTCAGACGATGAGTTACCGTTACCATGGCTGGAGAGGCGCTTCATCATCTTGAACAAAAAAAAAAAAAAAAAAAAAAAAAAAAAAAAAAAAAAAAAATAAATAAATAAAAAAAAAATCGAATGATCCAACCATATGATCCCAGGGATTCAATGTAACAGACGCACCATTTTGTGATTCTTATTTTGCACGTGCTGGAAATATTGCTCCGGCGTGTCCAACTTGATATTGCAGTTCTGAAAATTATGGAGAAGCGATTGTATTTCTTTTTTTTTTCAAAGCATGGTAAATTTACAAACAGATATCCCGAATTGCACCCTGTACCACTGCACGGTACTTTCCAGACTTGACTACTGGCGCCCTAACAAACTTGATACGCTACTGCTGGTCACTCACTGTGTAACGGTAATTGTACCTTTTGAAGTTACATTGCTAGAAACGCCAACTATAGCACCGCCCCCATAAAAAAGCTCCTTTCCACAGCCTTCAATCTCCTCTATTATGATTCACTAGCATGTCTCATTCAGACCGATACACTCAATGCTTTTCTGTTTCATTTCATCAACCGCTTGACCTGCGCAGCAAAGGGAGTACTGAAGTGTGTATTCTGCCCATATTTAGTCATGCTTTCTCATGTCCGCAGGGAAACTCTGTTTTGTAGCCAGATATGTCCTTCAAGTACACCACCGAGTCAGTTAACGGGCATAGGAATGCACCAGTTGATAAAAGCTAAGAATCGGTTTAGGAGAAACGAAAGTCCCGATGCCTCAACATGAGTTTCGGTACCGCCCTTGGCGGGAATATTCTGAAAATAAAACATTCAAAAGGTACTGTTCATTGTCTCTAGCCTGTATTTGGACAGCCAATGTGGTGTCTGTTTTATATCTATTTTGTGTCCGTTTTATGGATAAATGTATAACCTAATTAATCGTAACGTAACAAGCAAAGGGGAGGCATATGGTTGTCAGGCAGAGCAATGAACATGTCAAACGGTGCACAGATAAGGAGCAAAATACATACCGATGATGCTTGTTAGCTGTTCTGCAATGGTCAGCATTAGATTAGCAAGGATGCCTATCATTTATATTAGCAGAATGCATATGCGTGGCGAAAATGGGCATCTTGGAGCAAAATACATACAGATGATGCTTGTTAGCTGCTCAGCGATGGTCATCATTAGATTAGCAAACTGCATGTGCATGGTGAAATGCATACCAGTAATGACTGCTGTCTGTTCTGCAGTAATTTTCATCGGGTTGCCAAGCCTACGGGGATATAGTTAAATCGAAAACTTGCATGCAATCACACAAAGGCCCAGTAGGGGCCTCTATTATATTTTAAAAATAAAGCTATTGTGATACCATGATAAATCAGTACCATGTTATGAATTTGTTTATAGATACCATTAAAATCTAGCTGACAAAGAAGGTCACAGCCAATCAGAATTACACAACGCATCATGATACCATTAGAATTGACAAAGAGTGAAGAGCGTCCTTAGATACTAGCCAATGAAATAAAAGGGGTTGGCCCCACAAAACTCTATAAAACCTGTGTTTTGTCTCTGGAGAATTCAGAGCTCTGATGTGCACATCTGTACCTCTCCGGGTTTTGATTGAATAAAACTCGCTTGTGACCAGCCTGCAACTTGGACTCTTGACTAAGTTTGTACTTAGTTTTTGATCGACTCCGGCCTCAAACTCAGAAACATCTGGTGCGTCCCCTGGTCTGCGGCTCAACGAAGGAACTGCAGTGTCGGCCCTCCTGCCCTCTGCTGACCCCCCGGGAAAAGGCGAGACGCCCACGCATCTCCGGGGGGGGAGGCGTGGGTCCGGCTAGGGGCCGACACTACACCAACATCCGAAATTAACAAACACGCGGAGGAAGACAAAGGCCAGATTACCCCCCAACAGTACCGTGCAGTGGAAAAGTAAAATGCTCTTTAAGAGATGAAAATGTGGTGGTTTTCTTTACCTGACAATATATTTTGTGCGACTTCTCAGAACCACCTACCAGAGAAAACAAATCATACAGTGGCAGGATTAGTTTCGGAGGTGATGACATTCCTTCACCCCGGACCCTGAAGTGACCTCAAGATCCTGGATTTATTTATTTATTTGGGGGGGGGGGGCGCTCAACAGTAGTGGGTTAAGCAATTAAAATTTTGAATTATGAGCGCATGCACGCATACCTAAAGTCCCTCCAAGTTTAACCCTTTCAGGGACAGCGGTTACGGCAGCGGACATCTTATGTTATCGTGTTACATGGACCATGAAAGGGTTAAGATCATATTTCGTCTCCGTAGAGTGTCCTTTCTCACTTGTTCAAGTGCCAAGTACACGCTACACATCTGGAGCTTCTAGTTTATTGGGAAAAAAAAAAAAAAAACATCACAGATTTGAAGACTCACACCAAAGTCTCTAACACAGTCAAGTCACACAGATTTCCTCCCCCAAGTTGAATTCATTGGGGAAATTAGTGTCGACTGAGTTTACTCAAAAAGAAACCGCCATTAATCAGATTAACAAATAACCAGATGTTTGTTGAGATCTGAGGTGATTTTATCCATTTGTCTGCCCAGAAGGGTACAGTTGTTCAGGGAGGGGGGGTTCTTCAGCTGTTAATTTCTCAGTTCTTAATTATCGGCATGAAGTGGAGGACAGAGAGACAAAACGTGAAGCTCGAATACAGCTCAGGATATTTTGGATTGATTCAATGAATATCTACCTTCAAGCAGCGAGGGAAGCCTGACAAACCCATTGACAGAGTGCATCGCTGGTGAGGAGAAGCATATTAAATCAGAACATGACAGAAGACTAATTACGACTCGACGATGGAGGAGGGTTGCGTACCTTAAAAGGAGCTAAAAGATTCATATGTGGAAATAAGCGTGTAAGGCAAATTTAGTATCTGAAAGGACACGGGGAAAGAGTGAAATTGTCAGTGTATACAAACACGAGCAGGGTAAAGAATCAAATGACTTGGGGTTAATATCAGAGACAAAACTTTAGCGGTCCAATTTTGCTGACATTCAAATGGTTTAGTTTTTTTTAGGCCTTCCTGGGCTGAATGTATCAGCAAAGTTCTAAAGACATATACACATGAAGACCATTTGTGTACAAAAAAAAAAAAAAAGGCAGGCCAATTTGAAAGCTATGCTCGATTTACATAGCATTTGCATTGATCTCAACTGGAGGGAAAGTGCTCGAATATCCCGTGGTCCAGCACAACTTCCATGCAGAGGTGGCACAGGTACAACACTATTCCCCAAAATAAAACAGAGTCAGCAGTTGCAACCCTAAGGACAAGCACTTATGTTTAGTGATCACTGCAGCAAAGACTTATAATAAAAGTTTAAATTAAGCAAAAACAAGATTACAAGTGTCAAAAGAACCCCCCCCCCTCCCCCCCAAAAAAATGGCTCGGCTGGAATAAAACACACAACAAACCCCAAAAAATATTTGATACAAAGCCACAAAACCAAAGAATAAACTTAATATGATCATGAAACGGACATGACAAAAAAATGGCAGCTGAATAAACACGACGCACCTACACAAGCCTAGTAGCTGATTAGTTAACAAGTGTGGAGCAGGGCTGACGACAACAGGTGTATTTTAAGACATAACGAACATGGGAACCAATAAGCAAATCCAGAACAGGTGTATATTACAGACATAGGATACATTGGTACCATGTTAACTAGCAAAAGAGAAAACAAAACATACGATTCCAAAGTCAAAAATTACCAACATTTTCTACGACAACTCGGGTTTGTGGACCACGCAGAAAGAAGAAGCGGGACGGACGTCAATCAACCACTAACGAAAACAATGAACAAGCAATGTCCGGCTACTTTTAAACTTTTCGATCAACTCGTACGCTTTTCTTTTCGATAGTACGCCGTTTCCATATTGTCTAAATACGGTGAATTTGTACATCAGTGATGCAATCTGCTAATGGAGCGGCTATTTTTATCGACCGAATCAAACACGTAACAATCGATTAGACAAATATTAGCACCTGGTCTGGATCACGTGACACACAAGCTCCCGCGTCCAGGGAAAATTCCGTCGAACTTCAAAACACAAGCGTGCGAGTAATTTTTCATTTGCACTCGTAAACGACAATTTACTTCTTATAAAATGTTATCACTATTTTCTTTAAAAGTACTGTACGTAACACACACACAAATGTTGTACCCCCTCCCCAAAGAATTACATCACACGTGTCAATTTATAAATGGTGTAGTTACTTGTCATCTTCCCCTGAGAAAATGTTACCGTCTTGTCGTCCCCATAATTAATTAAATACAAACACAAAAGTCAAACGTCCTTATTGAGTGTGTTCTGCCACTTATATGGCATGCTAGACCGTCTCAACAGTTGTTTGCTCGAAGTACATTTCGAAAAACGAGGCCATTGAGAATTTTTTTTTAAAAAAACGTCCAAACTTAAGTGCACCGAGTTTGAAAAAGACAAAACAAAACTACATGCTTACGTGGTGTCGAGTGAACCATAGAGGGGAGAAGTGAAAAGCCAATGCGCTCAGATGTCTCAGTCGAATTAAGCCGTAAAACGGAGAGGTAAATGGCTCTTGAGAAGTTGAACAGCGGATGTCGTCAATTCCAGTTCCAAAATGATTTGTGCGAGCGCTTAATAAAGAGGGAGCAAGCTGTGCCACGCCCCCCTTCCCTCCCTCTCTCCCTCCCTCCTCTTCCTCTCTTTCCTCGTCCTCTGCCTCCTCCGCGCCCAGAAAAAGTTACGGAGGCGGCGGTATGGACAACAGTGTGGTATCTGTTTTATGTTAAGTGGTGTCTTTTCGTGGTAAAGAATACAAAACTCAATACATCACAACGTAGCAAGCGGAAGATGAGTATGGTTACCATAGCAAAACAAGTAACTGCCTTGCAACGGAGTATGGTTGTCAGAGCAAAACCAGTTAGCTGCCCTGAAATGGTCATTGTTAAGATTAGTGTGGTGTCTGTTTTATATCAGTATTGTACTAACTTCATGGAATTACTGTGGTATCTGTTTTTTATTAGTATTGTACTAACTTCATGGAATTACGTCATCTAACTGTAGTCAAGGGAGAAAAGGGAGAATAGCTGTCAATTAGTATTAATATGTAGTGTCTACTTCTTACTAGCATTATATGATTTCGGACGTTAGCTTATCATAGACAGAAGGAAAAGAGCGTATGGCCGTCACTCGTAAAAAGCAGGAAAAAGGACGTATGGTTGTCTAACACTCGTAAAAAGCAAGAAATACAAATGCTGATCAACGACACTTGTTAAGCCGACTACATGCCTAAGCAAGAAATAAAAATGCTGACCAACGACACTAGTTAACCGACTACATACCGAAGAATATGTGTAGCAGGAAAAGGGCTATGGCTGCCTCGCGTAGATAGCAGAAAAACAAGTATATAGTTGTCAAACAGAGAAATATATGGACCAGAAAACAGGAAGTAAAACGCAGGATCAGCAACACCTGCTAGCCAACTACATGCCAAAGAATGTGTAGGGAAAAGAAACAGGAAGTAAAAAAACAGAATCAGCAACACTTGACAGCCAACTACATGTCAAAGAAGGTGTCGGGAAAGAACTGAATGTATGATGATACTTGCTGAAATCCATTTGCTATGGTCTCCATCAGATCGATAAATGCATGCCCCATTGTGTTAACAATGACATGTGTTAACTTCAAGTTTTACGTTAGATAATCGTACACAGTTGGAAAAAGGGCGTATGGTTGTCAAACATAGATAGCAGTTGGGGAGGGGCCTATGGTTGTCAATGTCAAACATAGACAGTAGGAAAACGTTAATCAATTGTTAACTAATTGCAAGTCAAAGCATAAAGCAAATTACAGGTATGCCCAATCAAATTAGCGAAAAAACGCGCATCAGTAAAGATTGATCCACGTGACTACATCCGAAAAACTCGAGTACATTAAGCTACCATGACCACGAGGTTACGGCGACCTCTGAGACCCACATGCAATCACACAGAGGCCCGGCAGGGGCCTCTATTATATTTCAAAAATAAAGATATTGTGATACCATTAGAATCCAGAACCAAGACATGGAGCAACTTATAGATACCATTAAAAACTAGATGATAACGAAAGCCCTAGCCAATCAGAATTACACAACGCATTGTGATACCAATAAAACTGATGAACAACCGAAACGATTGTCCAATGGCATTTGAGGGGCTGGCCTCTCACAACGCTATAAAACGTATAATCGTTCGAAAGCCAAATCGATCTCGGCTTCAAGCTTAAAGAAACATCTGGTGTGTCCCCCGGTCTGCGGCTCAACGAAGGAACAGTTTCTCTCGTGTCGGCCCTCCTGTTCCTACGGCTGACGCCCGGGAAGAGGCGGAACGCCTCAGCGCGCCTCCGACCTCCGGGGGGAGTCTTGGATCCGGCTCTGGGCCGACAGATCAGTTTGCATGAGGAAAGGGTGAGTCCAGGGAAACCAAGACAACAAAAGTCTTTGTACAACAATGAGATTTATTTCAGCGACAGTTCGTGGAGAAACACCATTTACATATCTGTGATGGAGACACTCTCCAAGCAGCTGGGTGCGAACCCTCTTATACTATATTTTTCTTCTTGGGAGGGGTCAACAACTTTAAACAGGTTGCCAATATGGTTATGTTAAAGCAGTGTTTTTCAAACTTTTTTTGAGCCGAGGGACACTTCTTTCATTGGAAAAATCTCGCGGCACACCACAGCTGAAAATGTGGGAAAAAAACCCCGCTGAGAACGTGTTATACTGTATTGTTACGATAACCGTTTTTAACATTGAAGAATGACGTTATAACAGCTTGAATTGGAATCAATGAACACAAAGAAAAAAGTATTTTATAATCTTTGATATTTATTGTTTCACTGTCGTCCTGCAATCATGCGGCACAAATTCGTTTGTCTCGAGTGGTCGAAACACAAGGTAATTGGCTAGCTGTTGCTGCTCCCTAGCGGCTTGGGAGGGTACTACATGATTACTTTCTGGGCGATTCACAGGCATACAAATTGGATATTTTACCGCGGCACACCTGACAATGTCTCGCGGCTCACCAGTGTACCGCGGAACAGATTTTGAAAAACACTGTGTTAAACAATACATGATTGTCATTGGTCATACACATTCGACCACGGAGAAACATGGTAGCCCCCCGTTTTGAGAGCCTGTTTGCGGCTCATCCTGTTTTGCAGCTACATGTCCAGAGCACAGGAAAATCACAAACCTCCACAACAAAGAGGCTGCATAACAACCCTTACAGATAGCAGGATATGTGATACAAGTGAACACTGTTAATTAAAACATTTCTACGATACTTGTTTGCTGTATTATACTATTTGCAGGGAATAAATACATTGCGGGTGGTCCGATGGCCCAGTGGTTAGCACGTCGACCTCACAGTGCAGAGGTGCCGGGTTCGATTCCAGCTCTGGCCTTGCTGTGTGGAGTTTGCATGTTCTCCCTGTGCGGGTTATCGTTGGGTACTCCGGTTTCCTCCCACATTCCAAAACCATTCATAGCAGGCTGATTGAACACTCAAAAATTGTCCCTCGGTGTGAGTGTGAGCTCGGATGGTTGTTCGTCTCTGTGTGCCCTGGCAACCGGTTCAGGGTGTCCCTGACCCAAAGACAGCTGGGATAGGCTCCAGCACCCCCCGCGACCCACCTTGTCAGGATAAAGCGGATCGGAAAATGGACGGATGGATTATAAAGCACACAAAAGACACATTTAGTCTCACAGATACTTTATTTTTCAAACAATTCTCTTTTATTAACACATTTTCTTGTTTACCGTACATACAGTGGCCTAAAAGTAATTTGCACTCAGTTACTCTGGGGAGAGCCGTGGTGCACACGTCATACATTTGACCACAACTTTGACCTTTTTGTTTGTTTTGTTCATATTCTCAGATTTTTGTTTTGAAAATGAGCAAAATGGCATTTTCCTGATATGTTGGACTTGTAATACATTACACCTGTCTTCTTTCAAAAAGAAACACTTTGACCTCAGATTCTTGCATTGCAGTAATATTATGACTTGGTTCTTAAAAATAAAAAATAAAAAACAACTCACAGATAATTCACAAGTCATCCATCAATGCACCTATTGCATGTTTGGTTCGAGGGGCCCACATGTGCCCGGATAGGACCCCTCAACGGAGAGAAAAGGGCCCCCTCCGAACCAAAAACTCCATATAACATTGAAGTACTTTCCTATTGTCATTCATACACAGCACACACAAAAATAAGAAAACCTAACAAAAATTAAAACAGACAGAAAATCATCCACAAGTCAAGAGGACATTCCCGGCAGCTCCCTAAACCAAAAGACTGAATGGAGTGATTTTTTTTTTTTTTTTTTGTCGCTCTTTCACTGCACAGTACCAGCTTGGTTCAGCACTTCCAACAAACTTTTCATTTCAGGATCAATGACTGAATTATGTATCCTAAAGGTAAATACTGCTTAGGTTCTGGGTATGTCTGGTTGAATGAACAATTTCGTTGCCCAACATTATGCCTGTGGCTGCATTTCAAAGCTAAACTTCTGAGAACTTTTGGTTATTTTTGTTTGCAGGGACTAAACGGATTCCAGAAACCGAAGTACCTATTAGCCCAGAACTTCAGGTGGAAAAGCTGCCACAGGACAGTGACTTCCACCTCAAGCTCCGGGAACAAAAACTGCCAAGTAGGTACTGCCGTGTAAAAAAAAGAGACAAAAGGAAGAGCCTAGTTTGTCACACACACTGGAGCATTTTTTTTTTTTGTACACATAACAATGAAATCTAAAACCAACAGTTATTTGTTGGAGAAGATTCTTTTCATGAATATAGTATGGCCTTTGGAAGACTTAAAATGATCCCCAATAGAGAAAACGTCTCCACTCTGATGTAAAATATCATTTGGCTCATTTGAGCATCAGGCCAGTCTTTAAAAAAAACAAACAAAAAAAACTCTACCCTCCCTGTAATCCTTCGTCTCACCTACCATCTCCCTGTGGTCTCCGAGTCCCATCATAGCTCGTCATGCGAGGTGCCTTCGTCGGCTTTGAGCTTAAATTCCGCAGCGGTGATTTTGCCGTCGCTGTCGCGGTCCTGGTTATTGAACATGTTGTCGATGATGCGCTGCGGGTCGAAACCAGGCGCCAGGCGACCTCTGCCTTCGCTCACCTGGCGCTTGATGTATTCGGTGAACTGTAAGGCAAGAGACCAATCAGCAAACACACAGAAAAAAAAAGGCTGCTTCAAAACAAAATGGCTGCCTTTGGGCTACAGACCTCGGATGGTTCCACCTGCTCGTTTTTGTCCGTGTCCATTTCGGTGAAGAGATCTCCGTTCACCTCCTCGTTCCAAATGAACATGTAGCCCTCAGGGAGTCCTTCCTCCATTTCTATCAACTCGACATCAAACACCAGCACCGCGCTGCCCGGAACCTCGTCAACTAGAGATGAGTTTACACTTAGCTTAGCTTTAGCCTTTGTGCGTGTGTCTGTACATATGGAATTGATACGTTCAATTCCAGGAACTTTGAAGTTTCCAGAGTTGAAGACTGATTGTATACTTTGGGGTCAAGGAAGATTTTAATCACCAAAACATAAGTTGAAAATGCAGCTTTAGACACAATGGGAACTTTGAGTGTGTAACTCACCAACTCCTTCTTCTCCGTACCCGAGGTGCGGGGGGACAATGATGTTCCTCCGCTCACCCACACACATTCCCAGCAGCCCTTCCTCCATCCCGGGGACCACCTGATTGGCGCCCAGTACAATGTTGTACGTCTTCGCGTAATTGTACCTTACATCACAGACAGAGAAACGCACGATAGGTTCATATCAGGCCACCATTTCACGATTGGCAACCACAACATATGAACTACCGTATTGGCCCGAATATAAGACAGTGTTTTTTTGCATTGAAATAAGACTGAAAAAGTGGGGGTTGTCTTATATTTGGGGTCTAGACATGATACCCATTCACGATGCTAGATGGCGCCAGATATCATTGAAGCGAATGCTGAATTTGACTCCCTCGGCCAAAGCGAACCCCTGTCACGAAGAATAAAAATAAAAATAGCGGTAGCACGAAGAAGAAAAATAAAAAAATAGCAGTAAGAAAGAAAAGAGAACAAAATAATAGAAGAGATAACATAAAAAAGGAGATACGTAGCGACAATCTGGAGAAAAGTGGGTTGAAGATCGGCCAGGTTAACCGGTAGCTGAGGAGAAGTTATGATGTAATTTACATTTCAAAAACCAGAAGCCATTCAGTTACAAATGTGACTGCACACTTTAGTTTACATATTTAAATGTTCATATATTAAGATTTGAATGAGGCAAAATAACATGATTTTTCTCTCAAATATATTGTTATAATCATTTGTTTCAGATGTACTGTAACTATTTTCTGTATAAAAATTTATTTGGTGTTCAAAAAGTCTTTTTTCAAACTTGAGTCTTGAAAAAGAGGGGGTCGTCTTATAATCAGGGCAGTCTTATATTCAGGCCAATACGGTACCACTGCTATTTGTGTGAATCATCAATCCACATTTTTCAATAGGTTCTTCAAATCTTTTCACATGATTCGTTCCATCCAGTGTTATTCCATATCATTCCACTTGGTTCCATATTTTTTCATTCATCATTCTAGCAGCTGCACACAATTCCCCCCCCCCCACCCCCTGCCAAAAAAGTATTTTCTAATTATTAACACATTGTGATGGCCCACAAGTTGTCACGTTATTGAACAAAGGGTAAAAAAAATAAACATAAACACATTCGTACACAAGCTACTATGGCCACAACTCAAGCACACACCCTCTCGCCAGCAGAATCACTCACGTGGAGTCGATGGGGCTTCCATCCATGAGCGTGGCGTTGTAGTGATACTTGACAAAGTCGCCCTTCTTGGTCAGCTTGTCACAAGGGTCTGGCTTGCTTGTGACAGTCATGACGGTGCTGTCCGACGGGTTGTGGAAGTCGATGATGTGCACGTCGAACACCAGGACGGCCGACCCGGGGATTTTGGAGCCGGTGCCCTCCTCGCCGTAGGCCAGGTGCGGCGGGATGGTGATGGTGCGTCGCTCGCCCATGCACACTCCGATCAGCCCCTCGTCCATGCCGGCAATCACGTAGCCACGACCCACGTAGGTGTCGTACGTCCGGTTACGAGAATAGCTGCGGGGGGGCAAAAACAATTAAAATGTCTATTAAAAGGGTCAGACAGTCCTTATCCAGCGCAAATAGTGGGGGCCCACTGCACGTGGATTTAAAACAACCACATAGCTTAGCTTTTGCAGTCTGCTTAGCTTAATCCTGATATACAATGCAAAACACCATTAACATTGTCATATCTCAGTTGGAAACTACCACTTTTCTAATCGAATAAATCATTATTTATTTTTTTATTGGGGGTCAAAATGCAACGTTTTGTGACCAACACGCTCGCCTTGACGATATAGAGTAATGCCGCCCTCTTGAGGCCGTTCGGCGCTTTTACACACCTGGAATCGAAGAAGGTGCCGTCAAGGAGGCTTCCGTTGTAGTGGTAGCGCACAAAGTCTCCCTCCACTGACTTGCGGGGGCACGGCTCGGGCACCTGCTGGTTGGTGATGGCGATGCCGTCGCTGGGATTGTGCAGATCCAGCAGGACCACATCGAACACCAGGGAGGCCTGACCTGGGATGTCGCTACCTGCAGGACAGCATCTTGGACGTTCGTTTCAACGGGATACAGAGACAAAAATATTGTTTGGGGTTTTATTTTAGTTTTTTTTGCTCACCGTCTCCGTTCTCGCCATATCCGAGCGACGGCGGCATGGTGATGATGCGCCTCTCGCCGACGCACATCCCCAGCAGGCCCTGATCCATGCCGGCGATCAGCCAGCCGATGCCCACATAAGTGTCGTACGTCCGCATGCGGGTGTGGCTGGCGAGACAGCGGAGGTTGTTTGGTTTTATCAATAAAAAGTGCCAAAGAGGCAACGATGATTTTCATTGTCAAACGTACCATTTTTGTCACAAAATTGAATGCTTTCTAATACGGCCATTTACCGAGAGACAGAAAAATATTTTTATGTTGCACTTGTTATTATCAAATACAATGTTGTAATAGGGAATATATCACATTTCCATGGCATACTACAGCGCCCTGGAGCCTGTGGCAGCCGTCTTCGGGCAGTAGGCGGGGTACACCCTGAACTGGTTGCCAATCAACCACATTCATGGCTTCATAAAATTAAAGCCATACAGCGCCGGAAGCTTACATGTACCTGGAGTCAAAAAGCGTCCCGTCCAGCAACGTGCCGTTGTAATGGTAGCGCACATAGTCGGACACCTCCACTTTGCGAGAGCAGATGGCGGGGGTGTGGTAGGTGTTGATCTGCACGCCGTCCTCAGGGTTCCACACGTCCAGCAGCAACACATCAAAATGAAGGATGGCGTCCGCCGGAATGATGTCGCCTGAAAGACACGCAAATACAAATCTGGATATGAAACCCCAATTTGAAACACTCAATCTTGTTTACAATTCTAGCCCTGACCTCAAACCGTCATTTTAAACCCTAACTCCAAATCCTAGATGAGTCTAAAAACCCGAAATTGAAACCAAATTCTCCGGCTTGACATTTTTTTCCTGCCATATTGAATACATATCGAACGCACCGTATCCTTTCTTGCCGTAGGCGAGTTGCGGAGGGATTTTGACCAACCGCCTCTCGTTGACGCACATGCCCACCAGAGCTTTGTCCATGCCCTGGATCAGCTGCCCCTTGCCCACAAACACGTTGTAGGTGCTGCCACGGTCGTAACTGCAACACAAAAAGACTTTTGGTTTAGTCATTTAGACAGTCAACATAACGATAACACAATGCGAACGGAACGTGAACCACTTTGTGTTCACATTAAGCAAACAGAAACTTTGAAGTGAACCACTTTGAGGCCACATCAGAATGTTGAAAAAAGGGGATTCAATTAATTTTAGCGTTCACAATGAGTATCAAAAGACGAGTCTATTTTCTCTCTGGCCGATTTCAGGTCTGAAGCAAAGTGAACCCGAAACCACTTTGTGTTCACATTAGGAAAACCAGATTGAGACCACATCAGGGTGTGACAAAATTTGATTCGTTTTACATTTCGCACAAGTCCAATCAAAAGACGTGTCTAGTTTTTTTTGATTCCATTTTGGGTCTAAATGGCCTTAATGTGGGTGATACAGGGCAAAGTGAACTTAAACCACTTTTCTTCAAACCAAATTGAGAACACAGAGCATTACAAAGGCAATTCAGTTTGCTTTCGCAAGTTCAGCCGGTTCACATTAGGAAAACCAGATTGAGACCACATCAGGGTGTGACAAAATTTGATTCGTTTTACATTTCGCACAAGTCCAATCAAAAGATGTGTCTAGTTTTTCTTGATTCCATTTTGGGTCTAAATGGCCAAAGTGAACTTAAACCACTTTTGTTCAAACCAAATTGAGAACACAGAGCATTACAAAGGCAATTCAGTTTGCTTTCGCAAGTTCAGCCGAGGAGGCGGTCAATTTTGCCTCGAGTCCTCTTCTGGGATGAATGGACCTCAGGCAGTACAGGGCAAAGTGGGTGATTATGTTCACACTGTTAAACTGACAACTCAGAAAGTGTCCTTAATAAAAGTATAATGGTCCACAGTCTGCAATCATTCTATTTTTAAGTACTATTTGGGTTCTGTAGGGTTCTATTTCTGCATGTGTGCCCCGTGCACAGCTCAGACATGTTGCCTGCGTGGCTCTCGGTACCAACCGACAAGCCTAAAGAAATTATCACGGTGTACCAGTTGCGCGTGCATGCGTCAGGCTCACCTGGTGTCGAACTTCTTGCCGTCCGGGAACACGCCGTTGTAATGGTACCGGACGAAGTCACCTACTTTGACGGCGCGCGCGCACTTCTCGGGCACGAAAGTCTTCTCGATCACGATGTCGTCTAATGGAACCAGGGGCGCGCTGCATGCAGCCAGCGCCACCAGAATTGCCAGACACCCGAACCTTTGAATACTTCGCTGCATTTTGTTGTGCGTCTGAACCGACTTTGAGGAGATGGTGAACGGTTCTTATTCCGGTCCTCCTTCTTTCCTTCCCCGGGTGGTTTCCGTGCAGTCTACGCCGAGGTGGACCAAAGTTCTGCCTTCCCGGTCTCTGCTCCTTTAGGACCTTCAGTCAAGTTAGACTTCACAAATGCATTATCCGGTTCAGCTTCCAAAATAAAATGTCATGATATCGATTTTAACAGCTTTCTGCCGAATGCAACGTATTAAAAGTCATTCATTGGCCTAAAACCTTTCTATTATGAACCTTAAACGAACAAAAAGCAACGCTTAGGATACTTTGGTGTGTTTTTATTTGGATTACCTCTGTTCTTGGCCTCGCTTCGTCTACGAGAGCTTGACACATCCCCGGGATTGAATGGGACAATTTTTTTCGGGGATACCACGTATCGCACATGCGCAGTACACCCTCGGCAAAGTGTCAACGTGGTCGGGGTCTCCACGTACCCACGTCGTGACCCAGGCACGTACGTAGCACCCCACTTCCCTGTTTATTACTGTATTAGCTAAACTTAACGCCACTGTAATAACTGTAAGATGGTAAAGTGTGTATTTAGGTAGTTTAAGGCGTGACAAAGTCACTTTTGGGGGTGTTTCGGAAGTTTTGGGACGGGAATGAGGAGGGAGGAATGTTTCTACGTGGCAGTGGGAGGGACAAACGCTGGAGTCACGGGGGGTTCTAATTAGCCACCGAGTGCCAACATGTCCGCCTTTTTTTGTGTTTTTTTTAAACAGAAAACTTCTCCAAAAAGAAAATCCGAGTAATGATCTCCTGATGCGTTTGGCGGGACAAACGCTGGAGTCACGGGGGGTTCTAATTAGCCACCGAGTGCCAACATGTCCGCCTTTTTTGTGTTTTTTTTTTTAAACAGAAAACTTCTCCAAAAAGAAAATCCGAGTAAAGATCTCCTGATGCGTTTGGCTTTTGATAGTGTTCTTACACAACAATAAAAAAAAAGTTGTGATTTGGGAGGAGCGGCTCCAGCACCCTCCACTCCTCCTCAGACCACCGGTCCGGCTACGTTTATCGAATCTAGTCGGCCCTCCCAAACAAACAAGATGGCACCCTCCGCACTATCGCTTCTGGTGTTCCTCTTCGGCCTCGCTTCTGTCCATTGCCAGTACGAGAAATACAGCTTCCGGAGCTTCCCCCGGAGCGAACTCATGCCGCTGGAGTCGGCCTACAAGTACGGACTGGACCAGTACACGAATGAGAAATGGGCGGACACCGTGGAGTACTTGGAGGTCTCCCTGCGCCTCTATCGGCTGCTGCGGGACAGCGAAGCCTTCTGCAACCTCAACTGCAGCTTGGTACGCCGAGAAGACGAGAGCAAGTTCGCAGAGTTCCCCGAGCTGCGAGCCTTTGGCAACGTGCTCCAGAGGGCCCAGTGCCTGAAGCGATGCAAGCAGGGTCTGCCCGCCTTCAGGCAGGCCATGCCGAGCCGCGAGACCTTGGACGAGTTCGAGAGGAGGGAACCATACCGGTTCTTGCAGTACGCTTACTTTAAGGTGAGACCAGATAAGATTGTATGTAGTTTGTAAATTATATTCATGGAGAAAAGATGTAGCGGGGAGGGGGGATGGGAGGCATGTGATGCAATTTGTTGTATTTTCATTGCAAGTACATATTTTCTTTTTAATGATTATTTAATACATTTTATTTTCTAGGTTTGTACGTCTGCCTCTCAGTTCTAAGGTTCAGTGTTTTGAATCTGGGCTCTGTGAATAAGTTAAAGAGTTTGCATGCTAACAGCACATGGGTGTGGAGGATGCCAAACCCGGAGACGCAGGGTAGTACGGTACTCCACACTGGTCAACTTCCTCTTTAATATCAGGCTCGGTTTCTTAGATTTTTCCATACATCTTGTTGTGAGAGACATGATATCATGATAAATATGTCCACTCAATTTGGTGTCCGGGGTTCTATTTTTATTTTTTATTTTTAACCTGGATTCCCTCTCCAATATGGCTGCTTCAAACTCAAATATCCAACTTCTGTTGGGGGTTGTTTTCAATCAGACTGACAGGCTGGCCAAGGCCGTGTCGGCCTCCCATACTTTCCTGCTTAAGCACCCCGACGACGAGATGATGCAGAAGAACATGGCCTATTACATGAGCCTGCCGGGAGCTGAGGAGCACCTCAAAGACCTGGAGACCAAATCCTACGAGGTATCACCTCAATGCTCTCACTTCACCATCAGCCTCCCTAACAAACATTTTTTTTTGTTGTTTTAGACGCTGTTTGTTCGAGCCGTGCGGGCGTACAACGGCGATAACTTCCGCACGTCTGTGTCCGACATGGAGCTGGCCCTGCGAGACTTCTTTAAGGTCTACGACGAATGCCTGGCCGCCTCTGAAGGCCCCAGGGACATTAAGGAATTCAAAGACTTCTACCTTAACATAGCCGGTTAGTGCATTGTCGAAGTCAATGGTCTCCATGGTTTTCTTACACAGTCATCTTCTTCTGTAGCTGTCCCAATACTTTTGAGTGAGAGTCCATGCCTCCTCATGTGCCCGGCATGATCTCATCGTGTGCAGAATTGTCCACGGGGCTTATCGGACCATAGACCGGTTGTCCAAGATTTATAAAGACATCACCATAAACTGCGTGATGTCATCAATCACACCCGCAGGTTCAGTTTCTGTTTCAAGTTGGGACATCTGTGGCAGCGGTAAAACGATCTAAAAATAACCGAGACACAATTGCCTTTTGTACTGGCAAGGTGACTGATCCTGCTTGGATGGAAAGCATCAGCTCTTCCATCCCACGTTATGCGAGTTTAATCTGTCCTGAAGATTGTTACTGGTTCACATGACAAAAACAAATGTGAACGGAACCCGTCAGTGATGTGACACAGATGCTTACAAAGCACAACGTTGAGTGACACGCGCAAAAGACGACGTCGCACGACATATATTTTTGTAATCTCCTGTCTACTTGCTCCATACAATAGTTCGAGACCCAAGCGGCCATTTCCATATTGTGTTTGACAAGTATAGTACTAACAGTACAGTATTCGTAATTTCAAATTCCATTCCATTCCATTTTCCAATCCACTTTATCCTCACAAGGGTTGTGGGGGGTGCTGGAGCCTATCCCAGCCGGCTTCGGGCAGTAGGCGGGGGACACCCTGAACCGGTTGCCAGCCAATCGCAGGGCACACACAGACGAATAACCATCCACGCTCACACTCACTCTAGGGACAATTTAGAGTGTTCAATAAGCCTGCCATGCATGTTTTTGGAATGTGGGAGGAAACCGGAGTACCCGGAGAAAACCCACACATGCCAACTCCACACAGGGAGGCCGCAGCTGGAATTGAACCCTGTACCTCTCTGCACTGTGAGGTTGACGCGCTAACCACTGCCCACCGGACCGCACATTTAAAAAAAAAATAAAAAAATTCTGCCTGATCCCAGTATGCCAATTTTTGGGAGGGTCACAAACAATTGTGCCCGAACAATTCTGCCTAGCAACAAGTGCCAACTCATCACATAAATAAATGACTGGACCACCGGGCCGCACATTTTTTTTTATTTTTTTTTATTTAATGCCTGATCCCAGAATGCCCAATTTTTTTTTTTGGGGGGGGGGGGTCTCACAAACAGTTGTGCCCGATCAATTCTGCCTAGCAACAAGTGGCAACTCATCATATAAAATAAATAAATAAATAAATGACTGGACCACCGGGCCGCACATTTTTTTTTATTTTTTTTTATTTAATGCCTGATCCCAGAATGCCCAATTTTTTTTTTTGGGGGGGGGGGGTCTCACAAACAGTTGTGCCCGATCAATTCTGCCTAGCAACAAGTGGCAACTCATCACATAAAATAAATAAATAAATGACTGGACCACCGAATATAAACAAGCGCTGTGCGACCGGATCACATTTTTTACCAACATACACCGGAAAAAATAAATTAAAAAGTGAGCATTTGCCGACATATTGGGCGCTCTGCTGAAACCCGTTTCACCAGATTCAGGCAAGGTGTCCCAACACTTGAGCTAATAAATCGGTTTGTTGTCCCCAGATCACTACACGGAGGTGCTGGAACGAAAGGTGCAGTGCGAGAGCGACCTGACCCCTGTGGTCGGCGGCTATGTGGTGGAGAAGTTTGTGGCCACCATGTACCACTACTTGCAGTTTGCCTACTACAAGCGTGAGTTGCTCGTGCCCGTCACGATGGTTGAGCTTGTGGGCCATGACATTGGCCCTGCAGAGTTCTTTTTTTTCGCCCGCAGTGAAGGATCTGAAGAACGCGGTGCCCTGCGCCACCAGCTACCTGCTCTTCGACCCCACCGACGAGGTGATGAAGAACAACGTGGTGTACTATAAGTTCCACAAGGACAAGTGGGAGCTCACCGACGACGACTTCCAACCCAGAGCGGTCTGTCTCACACTCACGATCGCATCAGCAAAAAAAAAAAGAAGAAACATTTATGACATTAAGTGTGTTGTGTAGGAGGCGGTGCGCTACTACAACCAGACCACCATGCAGATGGAAATGTTGGAATTCTCTCGAAAGCATCTGGCCAGTGATGATGAGGTGACTTTTATTTTTATTTTTTAAATACTTGGGGGTGTTGCAATGCCACAAGTGTCCACTAGGTTGCAGCAAAGCCCAACTCACATCAAACCAGCCGGCGTGTGACGTGTCGCATAAAATCGCAGTAATTCAGTTCAATCCAATTATTTATTTAATTAAAATACAAAATTTTGGGGGGGGGGGGAATATTAGTATGCCAAAATATTTTCAAAAATGTACAAACTATACGTTGAAGCACTCTTTTGCTAACCTATCAAATGTGTGAACTCATTTGATGTCATTTGAAGAAGTTAATTGTATAAAGTCAATATTGGCATGAGAATAATATAAAAATGATTATCATTATTATTACAGCAGGTCTGTTACAGCTAAACATTTTATGAATTAAAAAATATCCTGAATACTTGCTAAAGACAATTGTGTCACCCATCAGATATAAAATATAATTCATCCTCCAAAATATTTAGATATTATTTGTACCATATAGTGTCATTATTATGATTATTGATAATACATACTATAATACTTTATTAATATGAAAGAAATACAAAGCATTTCAATAAATACAAGCACATATTATACTGTACATGCAGTGTTTTAAGAATTTTTTTTCTTCTTACCATTATTTTCAAGAATATTTCTCAAATTCTAATGAATTGAAACACACAATTACTATTATTTTTTATGATAAAAATATTATTGTTTTAATTATATTGTTTAATGAGGAAAAAAGTTGTTCCTTGTAGGCATTATTTTTTTAGCATACATATTTCAATAATACAGTATAAATAAAAATTAATTGAAACAAATAACCAGCTTTTTTTTTATTATAAAAGCTTCAAAAGAAAATAATTTTATTTTTTCTTACCACAATTAGTATTTTTATATGATTCCAGCAGCTGAACTTCCATTTCGAGACTTTAATAATTTTTATTATTATTATTTTAAATATTATACTCTGATGAATAAATTATGAGGACTGCAGATATGCTTGATATGAATATCCTTTCTACACAAATATGTTTTGAATGCTATCTAATTGGTTGTATTTTTGTGTGTTATCCGCAGGGTGAGGTGGTGGAATTTATAGATGAGTTTCTGGATTAGCAACATCAACCTTGAAAGAAAAACACACAGACACACACACACTCAAGCACACAAGCTAGCATTTATTTATTGAACTTTGTTATTACAAAAAAAAAAAAAAACACACATTTTCCATCCTCGTTCAATTTTACATTCCCGGGAGGGGGGAAGGGGTGGAATAATTTTTTAACTCAGTGTTATATGAATCAATGTGTCTGCTGTGAATTGTTTGACAATAAAACATGTTGCCAAAACACGCGAGACATCTTCCATGACTCCCAAAAGTGAAGGCTGCGCTTAACGATGGGGAGTTGGTCGTCATAATCATCAAGAAAGAAAGACTATTAAGATGTGAGTGAGGGTGAAGTCAGATCAGACACACACGTGTTGAATCGTGTTTGAACATTGAGTCTCCGTGCAGTTTGTCGCATGCACATGCTAAAATGTGCGCAGCGGAAAATTCCCTCCCGGGTGCGTGAGTGTGTGTTGTCTTTGCGCTTTTTTTTTTTTTTTGAAAAACAGCAAATGATGCAGACATGAAACAGTCGACATTCTTGGGTCAGCTCTCTATTTGATTAAAGGCAAATTGTATTTTTTTCTTTCACTAAAGCTGGTGTCATCAAAGCTGTTTGTTAGTGAGTAAGCGAAGTTACTCAAAAGAAAAGTTCACGGATTGACTTGGACAAGGAGGGGTCATCGTGGCCGTTTGTTAGCTAGTAAGCTGACGTAGTAAGCTAGCGTAAGTAAGCTTTTTCCTCACGTACATTGTAGGAGGGTGGGACACGGACACAGTCAAAATTATTGAAATTCTGGTCCTAAAATAGCAAAACTTTTTTTTCATCTGTCAACGTTAATGACGAAAATTGGGCTACAGTCTTGATAAATTGTTGCTAATCTGAAAGTAGGATTTTTTTTTTTTGGCCTCGGCGGAAGGTCATCCATTGCAGTGTCTGATGTGAATTACAAGGCAGACTCACACATTTAGAAGTTTATTTTGGCCAACAGAACACAAACATGCCATCTTAACAACACACAGGAGCTGATTTGTAATTAAAATGCGGTCCATTGGTTCATTCCCCCCACGTCACCCCCAATTCCGGACATTTCCAGAAATAGACACTGTACACATTTTGACCTCGCCGATAAGAGTTGACAGTGTTATGTCTTTGAGCGCAATTGCACATACGTACGTACGTCATACGGCAAGTAATATTCACCTCAACAATTATATATCATCGGCTGTTACATTCATCATCACGGTGGCAGATTGGTATATTTAATTACCGACTACGTGTCAGTCATTTTTTTTGGACCGCAAATCTGTAATTATATCACTGCTGAACACTCCCGATCAAAAGCAGCAAATGAACACGCACGCACTCTACAAGTTATAAAGCAAAAGGGTGGGGAGGGGAAAAAATACACACGCGCAGCCAACATAATAACAGCAGCACGGAAACAATCAAATCAAGCGAAATACCACAATGTGCAATCTCGAAACGTTTTGAGGCGGCCCCCTCTCGTCGTTTTTAATACGTCAGCCTTTTGTCACAAATGTAAAAATAAAACAAACAACAAAACACCTCCCACCGTTCCATATCGAGGACTGACATCTAATACAAAGATAAAAAAATTCCTTGGGATATGCAGTAGAAGATCGGGACCTTATTAAAAAAAAAAAAAAAAAAAATCTAGAGGAGATCTAACGGCGACATCGCCACGACCAGTTGACATTGAGAAACTTGGCTCACGTATTTTTTTGTTTTGGATTTTTTTTTGCAGATAACACCTTAGACCAGTGATGTCAAATTCATTTTTGTCGTGGGCCACATTTCAGTTTCCGTTTCCGTTGGAGGGCCATTATGACCCAAACCAAATTTTTTAAAAAGTCAATAACGGTTTATTCAACTAAAATGCTTACAATATGTCTCTTATTTATTACATCTGATTTAAAAATTTAAAAAATTTAAAATTTTGTTCGAGATTTTGGCAAGCATCATGGAAGTTGACATGCTTGATTTGCTTTTGCGGGCCACGTAAAAAGATGTGGCGGGCCAGCTCTGGCCCCCAGGCCTTGTTTTTGACACCTGTGCCTTAGATGACGTAGGGCTGATTGACAGAAGTAGTTCAAGGTAATGTCAGCTAAAAAATTTCTCGTTAGCTACTGTAATGCTTTGTTTAACTCCTCATGGTATTATGTAGCTCTGTTGTGGTTTTCCTACAAAACAGATGACCAAAAACAAACAAACAAAAAAAAAAAACAGCTAACGCCTTAATTCCATTTTAATAGCTAACATCTAAAAATAAAGAAGGAAAAAAAATTCAAACATAAGTTGGAACGCTGGAACTTGAAATTTAGAGATAAATATAGTTGGGATTTTTTGGGGGGGTTTCAGTATTCAAAGTCAACATCTAAAAAAAAACAAAAAACATTTGTCATCCATGAAGTGGAACGTCAAAACTAGTTTGCAAAGTTTAAACTTAAAATTCTGAGAAAAATGCGCAGCTTGTATAGATTTTGTATTTTTAAACTTTTTTTTTAATGGGGCGGGGGGGCATTTGCAAGGGTATTTTCAGTATTTCTTCCAATGAAGATTTTTTAAATTCTCAGTTAAATTTCACTATTCAGCCTTTTGTTGTTCTTCCCGTCAGCCTCGTCATAAATCTAATAAAAATAATAATACCAACCACACACTTAATCAACACTCCATCTAAAATGCTAACATATAAAAACAAAGATGACGAAAAATTCCTTCGTACAGAATGTGGCACGTCTGAACCCAATGAACAATTTTATTCCCAAATTGATTTTATTGGAAATAGCCCTTTCTCAAGGGTATTTGCAAGGATTAGTCCAAAGGAAAAAAAAAACTACAAACAGCTTCTTGTCAAACGTAACAGACGTAACGTCTGAAATAATAGACAAACTTCCCCAAACGTAAACCGCCATTCCAGCTCGACATTTAAAAAATAATTCCGCACTACATTCGGTGGAACGTCAGAACAATTTGTTGGTCAAGATTTCAACCCAAACTTTCGTTGTAAATTTTGCATCTTGAGTCATTAACAGTGATTGACGATGTCTGGTGATCGTCGAAAGCATAAGAATTAACTCTGCAGGGCTCGACTCCCTGATGTTCGCCGTTTTCTGCTCATGACACTTTTAAATGGAAAAAAAAAATCAAACCGCTATTCCAGCTCGACGGCTGTCATTTAAAAAGCATTGATGACCAGAAAATTCCTTTCAACGTTCAGTGGAACATCAGAACTCGAACAGTTTTCAAAACGGATGATTTAAACCCAAGCTTCATACGAACAAGCAAATCATTGGCAGGATGATATTTTTTTTTCGTCTATGGTTAGCTTCATGTTTTTTTGTTGTTTTTTTTTTTTTTTTAACCACCAGCTACTAATGTAGGACAGGACTGTAACGATGGTGGAAAGTAACAAGCAAATCATTGGCAGGATGATATTTTTTTTTTCGTTTATGGTTAGCTTCATGTTTTTTTGTTGTATTGTTTTTTAACCACCAGCTACTAATGTAGGACAGGACCGTAACGATGGTGGAAAGCGGACCTCTGTGACAAGAGGGTGAAGGTTAACACCCGAAACTTGCTGGCCACGCCCTTTTACGTTGAGAGCAATGGCGCTGTCCGTATGACGTCGTCTGGCATTTTCTTATCTCAATACGTGGAGCCGCATCGAGCGTGCGAACACACAGCTATGTGTTGCTTCTGCTTTACCGAGTTTGCTCTTAAGGCACCAACAAATAAATGGCTTTACTTTTTCCCCTCGAATGCAGTCAGTGTGAAAATTAACCCCAAATCCTGAAAAAAAAAATCTAAATGGAAACGGCTTGTGTTCGACTTCCGAGGGTCCACTGTGTGTCACTTTTCTGTTGTGGTCCGACTTGTCTCTCGCACCCCCCGCAAATTTATCCCAAATTCTGCTGCACATTCCACCCCAAAGAGTCTCTGACCCCCTAAACTTTCTGTTGCATCTCCATATGCTGGCTGCTTTGTCCCTTCCCGTTCATGTTGTACGCAGAATTCTTCTGCTGTCGCCACCGGTAGCACCACACCGTCAATATGACTGCCGCGACCACCACGCATACCGCCGCAATGATGGCCGCCACGGTGGGGCCTTGGCGCGAGGGGTTGGGCGGCGGGCAGTTCTCCCCAATGCATACCGTCTCGCCCATCTCGCCCTCCACCTCACCCCTCTCACCAGTCTCACCGGGCAAGTTGTGCAAGGTGCGCTCCCCGGTTGACTCATCGAGGGTGTCGCTATCCTGTGTCGGATCCAGGAAGGGGTTTTGGGTAAGGTCTAGGAGCCACGAATTGGTGGGGACCACCTGCTGGGTGTCGTACTCCATCGTATCCGAGGAAGAGGAAGAGGCGGGGTTGTCTGGGGCGGTGGTTTCCCGTTCTTCAGTTTCAGGTGCTTCTGGGATGCTGGCGTCTGGGCCCAGTTCTTCTACCTCATTAGGGTGGACGGCAACCGGGTGTCCGTCCAGCCAGGTTTCGTCTGTGGTGGTCGCTCCCCCTACGTCGTCCCGGGTGGCGTTATGACTGGTTTCGCTTGTTTCAGGAAAGACGACGTGCTGACGATCGTCATCGTCTTCGCGGCTCTCATGTTCGTCGTGGCTATCGTGTTCGGCGTGGCTGTTGTCGCCATCCTGCCTCCCGTCGTCTGTATAGTGGTTACGGTCTTCGCTGTTATCGTCCTCACGGTTGTTGTATTCATTGGGGTCGTAGTGACCGTTGTGATCGTCATGGTCTTGTTCGTCGTGGTCGTCGCGGTGGACGTCATCGTCATGATCGTGGTGTTTGTGGTCATAGTGTTCATAGTGATCATGGTCATGATCATCACCGTGGTTGTTGTTATCGTGCTCGTAATTTTCTTCATGAACACGATCGTCATGATCGTCATGATTGTCATGATCGTCATGATTGTCATGATCGTCATGGTCCAGATGGTCTTCAGAACCATTCTCCTGAAAATGGCTGCCGTCCTCATGGACACCATGTCCGTCAGAACTGTCATTCCGGCTGCTGTAGCGCACCTCCTCATGCTCGCCCATGTCATAGTGATCGTCGTGGTGGTTTTCGTTGTGGTCGCGATTCTCCAGTTCTTCCTGCTGAACTGGAATTTGTTCCACTTGACCGACATCACGGTGATCGAAACTCTCTCGCTCGCGGTTGTTAAAGTTCTCCTCGGACTGCCCGCCGGAGGACCGCTGAGTTGTAGTCAGGGTCACGGGGTCCATGGAGACTGGGTGTTGTTCCTGCTGTTGCTGCTGGAAGGCCTCCGAGGGGAACCAGAAGAGATGTTTCTGGGTCAAGAGGGAGACCGGCGGTTCGGTGGATGCCGTCGTCGCAACCCGTTCCTGCCCAGCGGAGTCCTCCCAATCCCGTTCCTTGTCACTTCCCGTCATTTCTTTAATCTCCACACCATCGACTTGGACCTTCTCTTGACCGTGCATGTTTGGATCCTCTTCCTCTCTTTGAAAGCTTATCTTTTGGAGCTCCTGGTCCCTGGGTTCTTCTGGGCGGGCCATGGTTGGGTGAGCCTCCAATTGCCTGTCGTCCTCATTCTGGTGGTCCGCATCGGCATACGTGAACTGGTCCTCGTAGTCCACGTGAGTCTCCGTAACGTCTGCAAGGACACAAAGACAATCAGTTCCTCATGATCACTAAAGTCACAAAACTGCAAAAATCAACACAGAAGTTGAATTAACAAAGGACCACATGAACATACAAACTCATGAAGGAATTATCAGATCTGGGCACCAACAAACTAAAGAACAAACCAACTGTTAGGCCTGCACGTGGGATCTGGGATCCCTTGGTTCTTATGACGCCCAATTTGTACCCCACCCCAGTGTGCATATCCTCCCAGCCTTCAGACGGCTTCTTCTGCTCCTTCTTCCACCCCGGTCGTGAATCGGGCCACGCCACGGCATGTCGCACCCAAGTGCCAAAGCAGCCATTTTAATCCGGACTCACAAGAGATACATTGTTCGTGGAGAAAGCAAGAATGAAGCGGAGGGTCACTGGACCACAGGTGCTGACAAGCTAGGGAAGTCAACCTTGAGTCTAGGTCATGAAAAATAAGAACCGGTATATGGTGGTACTTTTAATTTATTATTTTTTGGTACCTTTGATGCAAATCTGCACCAGTCCATACCACTCGCCGCAGCTGTCGCACAGCAAGCTGAAGGCACTGTGGCCGTTGGGCATGACGTAGCCTGGAACGCATGTGTATAGGAGCTCATCGCCCAGTTCAAAGCCGCTGTGGTCCTGAAGGCGGGCGTTGGGGAAAGAAGGGGGGTCCTCGCACGGCACGCCTGTTGCCAACAAAAAAATAATACCATCATCCAATTTTTTTTTTTTTAGTCACCCTTTGATTGACGGATTGATTCACTGACCTTTGTCTTTGATACAGAATGCATTCAAACTGTTGGGGTCGCCCGTAGCGTTTTCTGTCCTCACGTCCACGGCTTTTAGCGAGCCGCCCACATAGTTACACTCGGTGGTCCTGGAATGAGATAACTGTTGGTTTGTTCAAACATGTGACTAAATATGAGCAACTTACTTTATTATCAGTCACTGTTCTAAAAACAAATAGCTAAAAAAAAAAAAAAGAAAAAAAAAAAGAAAATTAACGAATCCACATACTAACTAGCAAATGAACACATAAACAAATTAGATGACAAACAATTGAAAATACTAAAAAAATTTGACTAACTAGCCAAGCAACTAAATAAATAAAAAATTAACTCCTGAAGAAACTAATGGACTAATAAATCATTCAAGGAATAAGTGGGAAAGTGAATTTACGAACACTGGTGAATGGACAAAAACCAAACAAAACAAAACAACGAATAGCTAACAAATGAAAAAACAAAAAAACAATTTAACCAACTAACTAACCAGCCACTAAATAGGGAGCAAATGAATAACAGCTGAATGAACATCCGACCTAACTAAATAACAAAAAAAAAACAAAACAACCTATCAAACAAACTCACTTATGAAATAGCTAGCCAGTTAGCTAGCAACCTAAAAAATTTACAATAACTACCTAACAGAAGAAAGAGCAAACTAGTTCAGGAACAAATAGGCCAGCTTGTGAACTAATTAATGAACTTGTAAACCAGCAGCTAGCCAAAAATAAAAAATAAAAAAAATGGAAGAATGGACCAATGAGTAAATTAGCGAACAAACGTATGGTTCACTCCCATTTGCCACAAAAGTCCCTCAACGCAATCAATATAAAATATATTCCGTAAAGAAATTTCAACTCTAGTACGAGTAGGATCCATCCAACATTCGCCCACCATTTCTTCTGGTGGAATTCCTTGTGCAAATATTATGTCAGCGTATCGAAGTGCCGCCTGTGCAATGTGGCGTAGCTTTATCGCACCGCTAGTTGACGTTCCCATGCACGGACGTCTTATAGAAAAAAACCCGGTATCAAACATGGGACCAGTCTCCTGATAGGAAAACACTTCCCCACCTCTACTTTCCAAGGCCTCACTAATTGGTGGGAATGCAAGACAGCGAGAAATCATGTGAGTCATACGCTACGAGAGTGTGTCAACATCAACATGGGCTTATAAGGACAAAATTCAGGCAACCGGCGCAGGACAAAAGTGGGCATAAGAAAGCCCCTTACTGTACTAGTTTGTGTGTAAAGTGTGAATTGTGTGTGTGTGAAATCTGTGTGTGAGTGTTTGTGTGTGTGTGTGTTGTGGTTGGTTGGCATGCCAACAGCAAACTCTGCCAGGTAAGATGTGAGATGGGGTTACGTATGTCAATGTAAACACACAGCAGAAGGCAACTTCCTGGTTCTTGAAGGATTTTGTCATACCCAACCATTGAGTGGATGGAATGTGCCATTTTCATTCCGAGGTGGAACCTACCATTCAGATCAACATTGAACAGCAACAACTACAATTATTTAAGTGAGTTCTATTCAGAACTGTAACGGGGTTGCAAGCGGATGAACTCGGTAACGTACTCAAAAAGGAAATTAACGAACACCACAGCGCTTGTGAATAAATGAAAAAAAAAAAACTAAGTAACAAATGTAGACACAAATGACGAACGGACGAAATGACAGCCGAACGGGTTAGCTTCTGTAATTGATGGACGAGCTAACTGACTAAATAGCTCACTGACAAATTTATTGACTGACTGACTAACGATCCAGTCAGCAACATGGTGATTAATACACGCTCTTATGCACTCGGCAGAGATCATTTGGGAAGAATTATAATGACAGATATGACCTGGATGAATTGAGATCTTTTCCTAATTGGGAAAAAGAATAACCTAACAGCCACAAACACCCGTCAGAATCCCCAGAAATGGAATCAATTACGCCGCCATTGCGGTAGGTTTATGTTGTAAGCGCGGCCCAAAATGGCATCCGACGGAGCACTTTTCCCGGCAGTGCTGGTTTGACACGTCCTCACCATGTTTCACACCTCCCGGTATCATCCGTCTGTCTGGTCTGAGGCCTTTAGCACCCTTTTAGCCCCGGCCTTCATGCACTGAGTTGACCGCAACATCACAGAGCAAAACATTCGTCCTCTCCTTGTTACCGTATCGTTTTAACGTGGTGTTAGCCTGTTCCTCGAGGAATTTCCTGTACTGCTTCAATTCGATGCATGACTCACCTCACAGTAGTCATTTCCCAATGGGAAAGCCGGGATGCTAACAAGCTATTTCCATTTATATCAAGATCAACATTTAACATGCTGCTTTCTTGGCATATCCAGAATCAAAAATTTAGCGAAAATCAGTGAAGTAGCTTTTTGCGTAATATTAACAAACAAACTAATTCATGAACCAACAAGCTAAGATGTAATAAACAAACTACTGTACCAGAATGAAACCAATGTACTGACTCAATGTACTGAACGAACCAACAAACTAACGAATGAACAAGCATACTCACAAAGAAACACGGAACGAAAAAGGCAACTAACTAGCTAATGAATGGATGAACAAACTCTGGAGCAAACTGAAGATCAAACTAATGAAGTAACGAACCAATAGTCAAACTAACGGATCGAACTAACTCATCAACTTGCACATAAAACGCTAACTAGCTAACAAACTGGCATATTACCAAACCGCAACAACTGAACTGACCAAATAACTAGCAAACGGACAGCCCTTCGTCCCAAAGTAACAACGGAGCGGACGAACAAAGTGTCAAACCGACTAACTGTCGAATTAATTGACAACTGACAACAACCGAACCACCCGAATAACTAGCAAATGATGGAAGATTGTACTTAAGCGATTAACTAACTGCTAATCACGCCTCTAACCGCTTGAATGACTTGGCTGATGATGTCTCCTCTTCCCATAAGTGTGCTTGTTCCTTGTGTGTCTCCTGGATGACACCCCGGCTCAGAATTCCCGACTCCTGATCCTCTTCTTCCAGAGGAGTCTTTTCTCCTGTCACAATCCCGTTGAAAAGCAAAAGGTAGAGAGAAGAGCTCGTTTCTTACCCGAGGGAGCCTCCGGATAGCCAACCGCGAGTGCACGAGGAGAAGAAGCACTCCATGACGGCGTGTCTTAGCTCCGAGGCCGACGCCAGGCGGGCCTGCCGGGAGGCGCAAGCCCCCTCGGCGTCACGTAACGTAGAACTGGACGACAAGTTCCCAAGCTCCACCACAAACACTCGACCTGTGATACAAATATGGACTTAAGTTGATCATTGGGCCCAAAAACAAAAATGACATCAGAAATAATTCTGAAGCAGGGCGGCACGATGAGGGACTGGTTAACACGTCCGCCTCACAGTGCAGTGGTGCAGCGTTCGAATCCGGCTCCAGCTTTCCTGTGTGGAGTTTGCATGTTCTCCCTGGGCCCGCGTGGGTTTTCTCCGGGTACTCCGGTTTCCTCCCACATTCCAAAAACATGCATGGCAGGCTGATTGAACACGCTAAAATTGTCCCTAGTTGTGATTGTGAGCGCAAATGGTTGTTCGTCTACGTGTGCCCTGCGATTGGCTGGCAACCGGTTCAGGGTGTCCTTCGCCTACTGCCCAAGACAGCTGGGAGAGGCTCCAGCATCGCCCGCGGGCCTCGTGAGTATAAGCGGACCTGAAGATGCATGGATTAATTTATGTCATGCTTTTTGGAGGTATTTAAAACTTTTCATTTCCTAAAAGGATTAATTATATACATTATTTATCGTGTATTTTTAAGATTTTTGAACACTTTTCATTGCTGATTGACCAAGTGGATTTTTAGAGTAACTATAGCTTTTCCAAATAAGAAAATATGTCTAAATGTACATTATTTGTAGAGTCCTTTTAAAGTTATTTAAGATATGTGTTCAATTTAATTAAAAATATAGAATGGATTGATTTTCATGGTACAATTAAAGCTATTCATTGCTCAAAACGTTATTTTTAATTTACAAGTACATGTGGATTTTCTTCTTTCTTCTTTAATTGACAAATATAAATATTTTACATGTGGATTTTCTACAAAGTAATTCGACTTTCATTTATTTAAAATATACTTGTAAAAATAGGATCATTTTTATTTATGTAGCAAATAGTCAAAGGCGTTTTTATTGGTAAAAAGAAATCACATAATCTACTTTTAATTTATTTAAAAATTTTAATTGTACTTCTTTTTGGAGGTTAACATTTGTGAAATTTTGTCAAGCTGGCTCCTGCCTCACTTACACAATACTGTGTGCATTTGAACACAGAACAAATGATTCGACTCCACTTTATATGAGAGTGAATATCACACAATTGAAACAGTTGAAGGATCATTTTTCAAATTTCAATCATGACACATTTAGATTTAAAAAGGACATTTGAAGTAAAAGACAAAGTAATGTCAGCAACAAATTGCTTCGAACAGCGATTTAAAGCGGGATTAAACTGACTTTGAGCCACAATGTTTTCCTTTCTTACCATCTGCATTGACAACAGAAGCCACCAAAAGACAAACGAAGCATCCAAGGAAACCAAGCATCCTTCTCCTCACTCAAATATGTTCTTGTGTTCTGAAAAAGGCAAATGTATCTTCCTGTAAGTCACTACAACTTCCTCCAGAGGCTGCAGAGGTAAGACTGAGCGAGGAGGAGGTGTGATGAGGAGGACCACGATGATGATGATGATGATGGTGATGATGATGGCGAGGAAGGAGGAGGCCAAGGGTCCAGTTGGTCAGCGGATGGAGAGAGGCTGTGAAAAGTCACACTGTGCCGCGAGTGCGACATGAATTCAAGTATTCCCTGCATGATTATTGCACACTTTAAAAGTTACAGACATTTTTATATTTGGCTTTGATTCATAGAAAATGACAGAAGTTTTTGAGATATATATATATATAGGTGTGTCAGCAAAAAAATGGCAGAAAAAGCCTAGTAGACCATCAGAACTTTCTTTGCAATTAATCAGAGGCGCTTTCAGTGGTGGCAGGTGTGTGCTAACAAGTTTGGACGTGATTGGTTCACCAAATATATTAAATCCTATTCCATTCCTCTTCACCTGGTGTTTACTGCATTTGCCTCGGCCTCAAAGGAAGTGCAAGTGACAGCGTGACTCACGCCCATGGGACCATTTGAACATTTCAAAGCCCCCCCCCCCCAAAAAAA